GGCTCTTTTACTGGAACAAAACACAAGTTCTGTTCTGAATTTGTCAAAATGTACTCCATGAATCTGGGCACCTAGATCACTATGTAACAATAGGACATTTGCTGACTAGAGAGACTAACAAAAGATGCACAGTAGATAATCATTTAGAATGGGACCAAAGCATCCTCACATTGAGAAGAATAATGCTTTGTAAGAGAGAGCTGTCAAGGGAACAAAAAGACAAACTCAAAGCTGAACTATTTTTAAGATGAGTGGGCCTGCATATTCAAACAGTTAGGAAAAGTACAACATTTCTACTGCTTGGCAAACGTAAATCACTGGGAAAAAAAATCCGTATCACAGACTTGCTGTTTTCAGCTGCAGGTGGCAAGTAAAGAAGTTGTGGGAGGAAAATATTTTCTATGTTGCTCCATTGTCTTTGGTCTTTTCAGTTATATTGTTTCCTATTAATTTTTATACTTCTTATAGCTATGTTGTTATTGAAGCACAGAAGGTATTCGTGACATCTTTGTGGCGTTTAAAAAGATAAAGCCCAACACTGAAGTACCTACAATCAACAAAAAGGTATCACAATGAGTAATGATGACATGAAACACAGCAGAGTGTGCTTTGGCAAAGGGGCAGAGGAGGCACAAACTGAATAGAAATTATGCGGAAAGCGCTGTTTTAATGGAGTGTTACTCTGAAAGCCTGCTGCTTAATGTTATGTTTCAAAAAGCTCACCCTAACAACTGTGGCAGCAGGTATCCCTGTGGCAGGTGCCCTTGCCCTAGCAGGAATGGAGGCTCTCCAGCTGCAGTTTTCCAATGCTGCCATTGGTTATGCCACGCTAACCACCCCAGTGCAGGCCAACCCACATCACATTTGTGTAGTGGCTATTGTGTGGCAGGTAAAGACCCCCAGCCAAGGAGGGTTAATGCTACTGTATTTGAACATAAATCAGATTTGACCAAGGGTATAAATGGAGCCCCACCAGGAAAGCAGTTGAGTTGGTCCTCCTTGGAGCAGCAGGTCTGCTGTTGAGACTCTCTTTGGGTCAGGACAATGCCCAAGGTAACTCCTTGATGCTTAGAGCACTCACCTTATTGGTGAAGGATTTCACATTCTGGGTTGCACTTTCAAAAACTTAAGAACTAAACTTATGTCAATTGTGTGGTCATGAATCCATTTGACATTCCAAGTCTGTTATCCACCAATTGTTGATGGAGCTCTAATTGGTTTTGTAAAATAATTTTTGTTTTAAGTATATCATTGGTTTCACTTAATTCACAAGCTTCCGCAGCAGTCTCTTAGACAGGTCTACCTTGACATGTAGTCTTCAGAAATCTTTCAGGAGCAGAGATGTTGGGTATGTGGATAGAATAAAACAATCCTCCTGGGTCACCTGTCAGCAACAAAACTGGGAGGGACAGGACGGATGAAAGAGAGGCTGCTTTAAGTCATCATGATAGAACACTATGACTAACTTGGACCTTCACAGCTACATGTGTTTTATGTGCTACTGTCCTCTTATACCAGGGTGGCAAAAGCAAGGTTTTCACCTTTGTGAACAAAAAAGCTTTGAACTTAAGAACTCCAGGATCAAGCCAGACCAAACATCAGTTTAGCCAGAATCTCTGACCATGGCCAGCAGCAGAGTGAAGGCCATAAACATAGCATCTGTGGATACTTTCTTTGGCCCATCAGACTTGCTACATTACATGACCAAATGGCATCCAGAGTCTGAGGTTGTTTACAGACCACAAAGTTCAACAGCTATTGATGAATATATTCTTGATTAGCTGTTCCTTATTCCTTCATCTGTTTATACATTTGAGCATCCATGATAGTTTATGGCAAAGATTTTACAATTTTAAGTTTTGTGGGGAAAAAACAATCTTTTCCTTTCAAATTTAACCACCTGAAACCTACAGTGGCCTAGTTCTGAGAAACAGCAATTAATTCTTAGCATCATTCTGGATTGATTTAATTTTATATGATTTTACTCTTCTTTCTCATTCTTTTTAGTCACCACTTTCCCTCTACTAAACCAGCACAACACAGCTGAAGTTAGATTGAAGCGTTGCACAGACCACCTCTTATTATCCAATACAGCGAAGAATGTACACATTAAATGGATCAGAAATGAATTCCTGAAGTATGCCACTAAATTTAATGACTTTCATGAAATCTGAAGTATTATGGCCAGCAAAGCAGGACAGGCATACAGAAGGGAATTATGAGGGTAAAATTTCTAAAATAGTCTATTTAAATGTCTACAATAAAGCTGCAGTGCACACCTTCACTTTCTTGGGAAATACGTTCTATTTTACCAACTGCTTTTAAAGCACCAGGTGACCTCATGTTTTGCCTGGTTTGGTTTGAGTTAGCTCTTTGAACTGTGCACAAAAAATGTGCATGTTAAAGAGAGAATGAAATTCTGCAACTATTCACTCATTTGAAGCATTTCATGATGAAAACAAGAAAACAGAGCCCAGTCTTAAAGATCTTATGTGGTCTATCTTTAGTCATAGTTCTACTGTTTTCAATAGAACTGTGTCCTATTGAACATAGTTTTCAATAGTTCAGTTCTCAATAGTCCAATCACAATGTAATTTGTTCCTTGTACCACAACAAATACTTTTTCTCTGCTATACTCAGGTAAAATCTGATGGATGGCAATTTCCGTTACTGAGCATTGTACAACTTGGACTTGAGAAGTCATTCCCTGGTGATCTTTATCATATTTCAGAACACAAAATGCAATCAAAAGCTATATGGCACCAACTGTGCTGCCATGTTTAGTTTACAGTTTCTAAGGATACTATTTATTTAGCATGTTCTGCTGCCCCAGGAGATACCAAGGCAGTAGAATACATACAAAGAAACAGAAAGCAGGTGTTGCCATGGCACAAACATCAAATGCTCTGAACATTCACTTCAACAAGGAAGGGCTCATTAAGACATTTTTTAAAGGGCTGTAAGTATACAAATAAGCCAGTTGATTTTTAATGTGCAAATAACAATGTTTGCATCATAGGAAATAACAACAATTGAGAGTGTGTGCTTTGCTACCATTAGGTTAGTGTATAGCTTCAGCACTATAAACATGGATATAGCTATGTCATTCCTCTTAGTATTAGCAATCATGCCTAGGCATGCTCAACAGAAGCAGAACATATTTTCCTCTTAAGCCTATCAGTAAGAGTTAAATCCACCTAGCCACTGTGTCTGTAGTCCCAAGTCAGGTATCTAGAAACCTCATGGGAGAATTCAACATCTCCAGAATTGTTAGGTTTCTCTTTAAAGGCAAACACAAACTTGCTATGTTTACATACTCAGCTTTAAGACATATGACAGCTCCAAATCTATATTTGCATAGCATAGCTGGAGCAAAATCGAAAAGAATGTACTGCTGAGTTAATTTCTGCAATGAGTCAGGTCCACACCATTCCACATCCCAGCAAAATGCATTCACTACTGCCTATTCTGAAATGATTCATGGTTTTTCTTGATGGATTTTGTCCTACCTGGCACAAATAATTTCATATTTTCTAAAAAAGAATTTTCAGTTTGACTCAAACAAACCTCAAGCCAGGTCTTTGTCACTCAAAGCAGTTTAAAAGGTTAGAATCATTTGTGTATTGGTTTCCATTTTAATTTACTGTCTCCAAAAGAGAGTGCAATGACAGTGTTACCCAAACCTGCTGTTTCGTATACGTTCTCTGGCAATGGGGATAAAAAAAAAAATAAGTATCTCTACAAAACACAATCAAACAAATGCAAAGAAAGGCAGGGTTTTCCAGCCCAAGACTTTCTAAGCTTGTTTACAAGAACTTGTTGCAAAAATTCAGCCATATTAAAATCAACAAAATTGATGTCTTTACACAAGAGCAACTTCTTCAATCAAACATGTCTTTCATCTTACTCAACCACTGTATGTATTAACCATAAATTGATTTTATGATTATTGATTTAAGGTAAACTTACTCCATGCACTGTTAAACAAAAATAGAGAAATTGCCTGAAGAAGTTACTCCTACCCAATTTGGTTACCCCCTATTCTCCTTTGCAACATTAATCCTGATGGTTCTATATGTTTTAATGTTTCTAAACTGTGTCACATAGATTGAAAAATGAGATGTAGAGGGTATGGCAGATAAAAACCTTCTCTTTCCTCATCGCACTTTGCCTCTCCATGTTTAGACTCTGGGTGCTGAGGCAGAAATGATGTTCAACAAGTTGCTCATACAGTGCTTAACACGGTAAAACCCTGATTTCGTTGGCAGGATGTCGGCTTTGCTGTACGTGAATAGATACAACTTCAGTTGTATGCTACTGTTTATATTTTTTATAAGATTATAGTTTTCCTGTGTAGACAAGGATGATATATCAGCATGTGCTGAGTGAAAGCTCTGAACAGTTGCTAAAGCAAGAATTGTGTAATTTAAAAAACAAGATGAATAAATTCCAATGGAAAAGAACATAACTGCCTCTGTCCAGTACAGAACACCTCAAGCAGACCCCTGAAAATCAGTAGTAAGGGCCAGCTAATACAGCGTGCTAACCATAGTGTCTGAACTAAGAAGTTTCTAAAGCAAACACCTGGCATCTCAAGAGCTTTAAGGTTTTTCCTCCATTAATCACAAAGAGCCACAGCTTGTGTATTTCATCACTCCTGTTCCTCGAGGAGGTACATAGCCACAAGTACAACCTCCCAGAATTAGAGTTTAGGGGACACAAGGATGTGAGTAATGTGATTACCTTTACTAGTCAAATTTAAAAATATTGGTATGCATCTCTCCTAAGGTTGATAGAGAAAATGTCAGGTAGAAAAATGAATACACCAACAAATTTAACATTTGTAAAGATGTTAGAAACAAATATTTTGACCCAAACACTTCCGAAAAAAACCCACTCACAAATATAACATGCTGCAGTGCAATCAGAATATAAATTCATCCCTATATACTATTGCTCTATAGAAAAAATCATCAGGGGAAAAGTGAAAGAGATATTACCTGATGCTCTGGAAAGCAACTCAATAGCCACCAAGCTCTCAGAAGTGCTATGACATTTTGGAGAAAAATCAGTCACATAGATGGTATTTAAGTGATGGATACTGTTTCTTTCCATGGACACATATTCCAGCTACAGTGTGCTCCAGACACTACCATCCTAGCTGAAACTGAATGTTGATGTTAGTTTTGTATAATTTTCTATAGTACCTATAGTAACAGCAAACACAATATTGAACACTTAAGCAACAGAGTGCTCCCTTATCATAGTTTCAGTTCTTAATCTTTGAGTGCTATGTAAATAACTGTATTCTACAACATGGGTCTTCTGTATTGTAAACTTTCCCTTGTACAAACATTTTCATTCACAATAGAGCTCAATGCTGTAGAGAAATATTTGACCTAAGCCTTTAAAAACATAGTTCATTTAAGATCTTATCCTACATCTCCAACACTCACAAAACAGCTTATGGGTATCATAGTGAGTTTGGCACCTCTTAGAATCTGACATTACTTATTAATGAAACAGACCAATTACGATAGCAAAGACAGCATGCAAATCATTGCAAAAACATTAGTTAACGAACATTTATAGCATTTTCATGAGGAAATTGTATTAGATGTATTAAATGTGGAAAAGGCACAAGAGAGGCAAAGTATGTGAGGATACAGTGACTGAGAGAAACATCAAATTCCACCAACCACAATGGTACCAAATTATTTGCTTAATTTAGATAACTTTTTGCTGTTTCAGGAAAACTCATGAAGTTTCAGGAACCATGGAAATCCAAGGCCAGATTTAGAAGATCTTAGGAACAGTTCCAAATCCTACACTCAGGCCAAACAATCTATGCAAATTATCAAATTATGTAATAAAAATCCAGGTTGTTACTTATTTTGAATTACATGACAGGCGCAATAAAGTGTTACTGAGAACCTTTCTGAGAAACACTGTAGTTTAGATTATTGTTTAATTTAAATTGCTGCAGTTACATGAAAACAGAGGAATGCTCCGGTGAATCAGGGCATAATATAATGCCTAAAATACACCACATAATATACTCATATTTCAGCATATAGATGAACAACTTCTTGTCTGAAAGACAAACTGATTTTGCAGAGCAAAATACCAAAGCAAATACCCTGGCCAAGTCCCAGGGTTCTTTTTCTTGTCTTTTAAATATTCTTTGCAGGTCTTCTTCCCGGCATCAGAAGACAAGAAAAAAATTAGAGATGCAGAAAGTAAATCAAAACTATATTATTTTTTTCTTTAAGAGTTCCAAAATTAACAGTGATCTGCCATTAAAACAAATAAGTAGGATGATAGCTATCAAGCTCTGATAATGAAATTTTATTTTTTAAATAGAGTAAGGATTCCTCCTTCTCCCACATTATCTCCTCCTCTTCAGATCTCCTCCCACATCCTACCTCTGCATTCCAACAATGAACCAGTAACAGACTATTTCAAATGCAGGAATAATGTAGCCTTTACCTAACCTAGGTAAATGACAGCAGAATCTGGGTAACAGCATAACTCTGCATCTGGCCCAAACTTTTCTTCTGTTTAAAGAGAGGACCTGCTGCTCAGATAGGATTATGGAAGGCAAGGTGCAATGGGAGGTAGTGTGTGTACAGCCTGTGTCTAGGCAAGACCACCAGTTGTCTCAGTTTTCTTGTGACTTTCGTCGCCTGTGGTGTCTTCCATGAAATCTGACAATAAGTGAGAGTCTCAGCTTCATTATGAATAACTACATCTCCACTCATCTTACTCACAAAGACAGTTCTGATAAGACTAACCCAGAAGTGCCCTGACAACTCACAACCCAGGTGCAAATATATCTAAAACCAGAAAACCTTCTTTTAATACCATCATTTTCAGATGCTGAACTGGGGATTTAAAGAAGCGTGGAGGTGGTAATTCTAGATTTTTTCTGTTAGTGGAAGGGAATAATATTTGATATCTATAAGAATATCTATCACAGATCTCTCTGGGGTAGATAAATGATTCAAGTGATATTTCCTATTCTGATTTCCTCTCTATTGTTTCTCACAAGGTAAGCACAGCTTCATATAAATAGTGCATGTAAAAACTGTAGTAAAATCTTTATCAAGTAGCATACAGAAAAACAGTCAGAATATTAGTGTGTTCAGAAAAACAGTAAGCTGAAATTGTAGGGTATGGAAAATGTGCACAAAGTGACAAAATCCTGGAGCTCTGTATCTGTGGTCAGTGACCAGAAGCTTTCACAAGCAGTCTCTGCTTTCCTTACTTACCCGTTTCCCTGTTGCACATGATGATGCAAACTACTGCAGTTGAAAAACGCATGACGGACAGGATTTACAAAGAGCCTTAAAGCAAACAGAAACGGTTTTAAGCAGTGCCACCCGGAGGTGCAAGAGAGCTTTTCATCTCCCGTGGCATCAAGGCACATCCAGGTTCTACCTTTTATTCCATCTATAACAATAGCATAAATGAAAAATTCCTTGATTGGCTTAGAGTCCTGTAATGGAAATGGTCCTTGAGAGCACTCACCAGTGGGTGGTGGAAGGAGTGTAATCTTCACTGAGCCAAGTCCTATCCTAAATTTAAAGTGTAGTTTACTTACCTGAGCCCCAGGTAAGGGCATAACCTCATGGTTCATTTAGTCAGCCCAGGGAATCATTCTCTTGCCTCTGTCACAGGGCTGGGTGTTTGTGCTGTGCTGTAGCAAATTCAACATTCTGACTTCTCTTCCTTGAATATGCTACCCCAATGAAGCTACATGAAACTGACCCGCTGGCCACCTTAGTGGCCTTCCACTGTAAACACAGCAGTCTTTCTTGTAATGAAGTCTCCAAAATGGACACAACATTCTAGCTGCAAGTCAGATAAACTCTGACAGGAATTATGCTGCATTCATGTGAGGAAACTGCAGAACCCCTTGAGGTCCTCCTTCATCTGTTGGCACTCACTGATGTTCAGTGTAACATACATACATGCCTTAACAAAAATCAAGTCTGAAGAGGTCTATCCCTAGGTAGGACTCCATTCCCTAAGAAAAGCTTATGTCCAGCACCTATAATAAGTATATAATACATAATATAATATGATATATAATACACGCACTGACCACCCCATCAAAGCCTGTTTCCAATAAAAACTCAAAGCAGCAGCAACCTTTGCAATGCAACCTGTGTTACATTGTCATATCACAATGTGGTGGCACAATTTGCTTCTAGAAATATCTCTTGTGGCCCCCCTATATGGGCTTATCACATAGCAAACACACCTTAGAGTAATCTTTAGAAAAAGTCTTCACAAAATCATGTAGAAGTAAAACATAAATAATTGAAAAGAAAAAAGGAGAAAATGTTGCCAGAAAACAAATTACTCCTTCCCATTATCTTCACTATTGATGCAATGAGGTAAATGTCAACCTAATGTAATTAAAAAAAAAAAAAAAAAGAATGAAAGTAAAATAATGATGGAATAAAATAAGTAATATGTGGTGAAAAAAGGGAGTTATTTGGGTAAGTCTACTGATGCATCAGAGCAATGTAATCTGACAAGACACCTCCTACTTAGCCAAATAAGAATCAAGAGGAGCTGTACGGTCAGCTGATATTAGAAACAAGTTCACTGGGTTTGTACCTACTAATTTCAAGCGAACAGAAGATTTAACACTTAACTTTAACACTTAAGAGCTCAAGGTTGTATATAAATGGAGATTCCCATTCCTCTGCTAGGCTTCAGCCCTCATGTACTTCCCATCCAGCAATTGTAGCAAGTCATCCCATTGATATGCTGCACTGTAGTAAGCACCATACCTGTTTTCAAGAGCAAATTATAAAGTGACAGAGGATAACAAAGTCAGTGGCACTTTTAACACGTTTCAAGTTGTCTCTTGCAATAAGGACACAATTCTCATACAGCAGCTCTTTTCCTCCTGCAGAAACCTGTGTTTTTTACCAAAAAATGTAATAGGCTGCTCTGTGTTTTTCCATATTCCAAAATTGCCAGATGGTTTTAAAGCTGATTTCTAAATCTTACTCTTCCTATGTCTTTTTAACAAGGTCTATCCTGAAAAATACAACAGCATGAAACTTAAAAAATATGAATATGAAGAATCGAGTACTGCCAAGCCATTCAGTGTTGAGATTTTGATGGCACTAACAGGGCTCACTGGCCCAAATCAGCTTCACCCAGGACCCTGCCCAGGGCCCAGGATCCCATCTCAGCCCCCGCCCCAGCAATGCTGCAGCAGGGCCAGTCTCCATCCCCTCATCACCTCCCCAAGGAGCTGCCCCTCTCTACCTCACTTCTGGCCAGGGTGGTGGGATGGGTCAGCCTGGGAACACCCCATGGCTCCAGATGCCCTGGCCCCAGAGAGCTACCCCTCCATGCCACACCCTGACATTCATAAGTAGTTAAACAGACAACCCCTTCAGCCTACTGAGATAGCTACAGCACTGTGTAGCTACTTAAAATCAGTGAGTGGCATAATAGCCACAGTTGTGAAATTCCCCTAAAAGCCAGCACTAAAGTACATGAGCACAGCAACATTATCACCTGTCAGATGCTGCATCTCAAGTCTCTGTCACTGAGAGTACTTCAAATGTGAGAAAGATGAAGGCAGAGTAATATGAGAAGGCTATTTGATTACGATGACAGTTAATCTTTACATATATCCTATTAAAGTTTACAGTTGTTTTTTGTTTATTTAGAAGGTTTTTTGGCTCTCTCTGCAGTGTAAGCAGCTATACAAGACAGACAGTTTCAACAGTCCTGTAAACATATGCTACCAAAAATAAACATGTTAATTATGCTCTGAAGGTTCTGCTCCACCACAATGAAAGCATAAAGAAGAGAAAAATGAACACAGGCCCATACGGCAAAGACTTCTACAACTGCAGGAGAAGTGTGCTTCTGAAAGAGAATTACACCCAAATCAAAAATATTTAGATTCAAGTTGCATAAAACCAGACATTTTTTGTATGGCTTTAGAATATCTCTCGTTTGTCATTAAAAGGTTATGTGCAGATTTAGAAGGACTTTAACATTAATATTAGAGTCACCCTTATGCTGACTTTCTGTGCTGTAAGTAATAAAGTTTCTAAATATCACCTTTTTTTTTTTTTAAATAGTGAGATCAGTAAGATGCCTTGTGAAATTTTCAGT